CACACACACACACACACACACACACACACACACACACACACACACACCCTCACTCATTAAACTCCTGTGTCTCCCTGTCACCTCCAGGAGCAAATGCCTGTTTGAAATTCAGAGCTCTTCGTAACCTAGCCCCCTCCTTCCTTTCCAGCCATGCAACACCTTGCTCTGGACACATACTCTTTGATCCAGTGACTCTGGAGTCCTGGCCATCCTACAAACGATCCATCTCTCAGCTCTGGGCATTTTCTCTGGCTGTCCTCCATGCCTGTTAACTCTCTCTCCTCCATTCTCACTACTGACCTTCCTGGTTTCTTTTGAGTCCCAACTAAATTCCCATCTTCTACAGGAAGACTTCCCCAATCCCTGTTAATTCCAGCGCCTTCCCTCTGCTAATTAGCTCCTATTTATCCTGTATATAGCTTGTTTTGTAGCTAAATTGGGTGTCTCCCCCTTAGATTGTAAACTCCTTGAGGGCAGGGACTGTCTTTTGCCTCTTTTTGTATCCCCAGTGCTTGGCACAATGCCTGGCAAATAGCAGGCTCTTAATAAATGTATATTGATTGATTGATTGATTGATTGATGATACCACACCTGTAATTACTTAGTTGCTACTAAATTGCATTTCAAACTCTTCTCCCACTGTTAGAAAGTCATTTTTGTTTTCTGAGTGGCTTGCAACACATATGCTGTGCTACAAGGTCAGTATGGGGAAGGAAGTCTGTGAACAGAAATGTCAAGGAAGTCTTTGATGTAAATGGATGCAAACATCGTAAATGTCCTCGAAGAAGGAATTCTGATTCTTGAGTGCCAGAAAATACATCGAAGAGAGCAAAACAAGAAATGGTCGATAATCCTTAATAATCCAGTTCCATGCAGTTATAAATGCATTAATGAGCCAATTTAGCTCACCAAATCACCTTTTGAGTTTATGTGACATTTCTCCATATGAAATTAAGCTTAGGTGCTAACCCAACCTATTTCCTAATTGTCTCTACTCAGCTATTTACTAACCTGTGTGACCCTAGGAAAATCAATTACTCTCTCTGACATCAGTTTCCTCATCTAGGAAATGAATGCGTTGCATTAGATCACCAACCAGATGTCTTCTGACCAAAATTTCAAACACATAAACTTAAATAAAATGTAATTTTCTATAATGATAATAATAATGATAGCTAGCATTTTTATGGCTTTATAGGGTTTGCAAAATACTTTATAAATATACATACATATATATACATATATATAAAATGTATAATATAAAATCTCATTCGATCCTCACAACAATCCTGGAAGGCAGATGCTGTTATTATCTTTATTTTACAGAGGAGGAAACTGAGGCAGAGGGCAGGTTAAGAGACCTGTCCATGACCATCCTACCATGTGTTTGAAGCAGGATTTGAATTCAGTCCTATCCATTGCATCACCCAGCTGCTTCAGCTAACATTAATTAGTCCTTTCTCTAAAGGACTCCAATACTTTTTTATCTATATAATCTGATCTTCCTCAGTAGTCTCACGAAGTTAATATGATTTCCTGATTTGAACAGATGAAGAAACAGAGACCCACAGAGGACAGAGACCAAGTGATTGAATATAGTCACAGAGCTTCAAGACAAACCCAGGACCCAAACCAGGGCTCTTGAACACTAGATTGGAGACACATTTATCCCAAAGCACACTGGGGAAGTGGGAGCAGGGGGGAGGAAGAAGGAGAGATGGACTTAATGGCATCATTCAGATGTGGGCAGGTAGAAGTTTCCTCTGAGATTCTGGAATTACCAGAGCATAAGACATAAAGCCCACTGAGTCCAGGTGTCTTTGACCAGGTGTCCTTGGATGCTCATGGGGTTTGTAAATAGATTTGAGGAGGGTTGTTAACTTGGATAGGAAAAAATAATTACATGTTAATTTCATTAAAGGCTAGTATTCCTAGGTAATCCTATGTATTTTATGTTATGAATTTTAAAATATTCTAAGAAGGAGTCCATAAGCTTCACCAGACTGCCAAAGTGGGTCAAGACAAAAAAAGTTTAAGACCCCTGGTCTAATTCAATTCCTTTCATTTTACAGATGAGGAAACTGAGACCCAGAGAGATTAAATGACTTGCCCATGGTTATACAGGTAACATCAGAGTCAGGATTTGAACTCATGTTCAGTGGCTCCAGAGCTAATGTTCTTTCAACCATATTGGTTGCATAGGTATGAAAAGCGTACATCACTCATAAATTAGGCATCTATAGGTCCTGCTGCCATGTCATAGTCTTAAGAAAGTATATATGCGGACACCTCTAATTCCCCAGTCTCAGGAGTTCTTAATCTTTTGTGTATCCTTGGCCCCTTTGGTAGTTTGGTGAAGCCTATGGACTCCTCAGAATTACGTTATTAAATATACAAAATAAAATACATAGGATTACAAAGGCAAATGATTACACTGAAATATAGTTATTAAAATACTCTTAGAAAGAAGGGCAGAGGCCCCAGGTTAGGATCCCCTGTGGCCAGTTGCTTAACAAAACCCACTCCAAGAGTCAATTTCTTTGGTTTAGAGTTAATCCAGTTCTCCGGATTGCCTGCTGTCTTCTTAACAAGAACTCCCAAGTATTTCTAGCTTGAAATGGCCAGATTCAGGGTCTCAGATCATCACTCCTCAAGAATGTCTGGCATTCAGGGATGCCATGGTTTGTTTCTTTTCCTCAATTCAATAAAAAACATATTACAGAATAATATGCATTGATAATGTGAATGGGCTTCCCTTGAAGACCAGACAAGAGAAGGGGAAGAAGAATAGAAATCTCTAAAAATAAAAAGCATTAGCAACCATTATTAGCCCAAATATCAAAAACGTAACAAAAAACTCATATAGACTTAAGCACTTAAATAAGCATAAAGAAAAGAATAGATGTAAAAACAGTGATTTATGCTCAATAGGTTCTGTGGATTATTGGTAAAAAGGCAATTCATAAAGTTAATTACAAGAACAGTATTTTTAACAGCAAAAAAAAAATTCAGGCTAGATCATTTTTTGTTATTTTCTATTCCTATTTAGTATAAAGTCTGCTCTAATTCATATTGAGTATTAATCAATGTTAAGAACCTCTGATTTCATCCAAGATGGAACTCCCAGTGTGGAAATTCTATCCACTGACACAGATCACAATTTGTCTGAAACTTATCATTTTAGTTGCCTTATTTATCATAGATAAATAAAATAGTGAATAAAAATGATATTGACTTCTCTCTCTCTTTCTCTTTCTCCCTCCTCTCCCTCTCTGTCTCTGTCTCTATCTCTGTCTGTCTGTCTCTCTATGTGCGTCTCTCTCTCCCTCTTTCTCTCTCTCCCTCTTCTCTCCCTCCTTCTTTCTTTCTCTCTCTCTGTCTCTCTCTCTCTCTTTTTCTGTCTCTGTCTGTCTCTCTCTCTCTCCCTCTTTCTCTCTCTCCCTCCATCTTTTTCTCCCTCCTTCCTTCTTTCTCTCTTTTTTCTTTCTCTGTCTCTCTCTCTCTCTCTTTCTTTGTCTCTGTCTATCTATCTCTCTTTCTCTCTGTCAATGATGGCAGACACCTGCTCTGCCATTTGTCCCCTAGAGAGCTGTTTGGGGACACTGACAGATTAAGCACCTTGCTCAGTGTCACACAGCCAGCATATAACAGTGGAAGCCAGCTGATGCCTGGAATCAGGAAGTCCTGAGTTCAAATCTGGCCTCAGATAACATACTAGTTGTGTGACTTTGGGCAAGTTACTTCATCTCTGTGTGCCTCAGTTTCCTCAACTGTAAAAATGGGGATAATAATAGCTCCTACTTTCCCGGGTTGTTGTAAGGATCAAATGAGATTCTATTTGTAAAGCTCTCAGCACAGCACCTGCTATATAGTAAGCACTTCATAAATACTTGTTTCTTCCCTCCGTCCTCAGGATTTCACCCTCAGCTTTTCCTAACTCTGAGGCCAGCTCCCCATCACTACTCCAAGAGGGAGGAGAGAAAAATTCTATTAATCATCAGATATAGAAAACAAACAAATAATGATATTATAATCATAACAAAAGGTGACAAAATAATAATAACAATAACTAGCATTTCTATAATGCTTAAAGGTTTGCAAATATTATCTCATTTGATCCTCACAACAGCTTTAGGAAAAGGTGCTGTTATTATCTCCATTTTATGATGGAAACAGAGACAGGGAAGTGTTAAATAACTTCCTCAGGGCCACATAGCTAGTAAGTGTCTGAGCATGGAATAGAACTCAGGTCTCCCTGTTTCCAGCTCCAATTTTCTATCCATTGTACCACATAGCTGCCAAATAAATAAAATAAAAGGTTTTTTTTGATCACCAGACAGAAAATGTTATTGAGATTACAATTAAAAGTGAAAATAGCCCCAAAGTGAAGGTTTAAAATTCCTTTCTAGGGATTTAACCATTTGGGTATGTCATAGGCTTATATTAAAAAAGTAACCTAGCCATAAAAATGTGTAAGACTGTCCTCTCCATTTTTACTTAATGGTAAAATTCTCTATTAGTCTCACAACAAAAGAGGTTAAATGGGTGTCTGGTGAATTTCTCATCTGGAAGTTTTTCTTTGCCCATCAAGGGGAATCTAGATTAATAAATAACAAGGGCCATTCCTCCTTCGCATCTCCAAGCATATTTGGTGGGACGCCTAGTGTCACTGTGCCAAGGTTCAAACTCACTCATGTTTAAGATATGAGCTACCTGAGATCCCTAACCACGCAGCCCCCATTTCCATTGCAAGATCAGACTCGAATATCAGCACTTCTGGTGGATCTTTTGTTTTCCAGATGCCAAGATGAGAAAATGATCATCAGCTTTAAAAGTTTCATGGGGCCACAGTTGGGATCATTTACACTGACCTCTTTTCTTTCCAGGACTCAGTTGTTTCCCTGCTGAGATGTCACTGTGGCTTTCCACCATTGTATCCTGTGCACAGTAAGCTGTGGCGGGGGGTGGGGGGTCACCTTCCTGAGCCTATTATTCCTGGTGACAGTTATTATCACTTGGATGACATTTGTTTGTCTATTTACATTTTCAGCAAGAATACAGCCTATCACTGAATCTGGGTGCTTTCTAAAATTTACAGACTGGAAAATTAATTATAGCCGAGTATGCATTCCCAATAGGGATGGAGATTACCGTGTCCCCACAAAGCCAGCAGTTAATATAGCATCTCTATCAGATTGATGGACAAAATTATATTAAAAACTCAGCAAGGATTAATTTCCTGTGTGAACCGCTGCCAATTGGTGCAATGTTATACTTCAACAGACAGGGTTCCCCTTAAAAGGAATTAGTTTAAAACTCCAGACAATTCAAGGTGGGCTCTGAAAGAAGTGAGGCATAAGACATAGAAAGCTGGACCTGTAAGTCAATAAGACCACAGTTCTTATTCTGCCTCTGACATTTGCTCATTGTGTGACCCTGAGCATATGATTTACCTTCTGTGAATTATAGACAAATTAGATAATGCGTCTAAATTGTAAACCTTACAGCATGATATAAATAAGAGGTTCAAACGAGGTAATGCCTGTAAAGCACTTAGCACAGTGTATGGCACACAGTAGGTGCTATTTAAGTATTAACTGTTTTTATTATTAGTCAATCAACAAACATTTATTAAGTACTTATTATGTACCAGGCACTGGGCTAAGGACTAGGGATAAAAAGAAAGGCAAGAGAGCCATTCTAATAGAGGAGACAATATGCAAAAAACGTACTTACATGATATATACAGTGTATTAGCTATTATTAAAGTTATATATTAAAGCAATCACACAAAATATTTTTTCCAGGATATTATTCATATGTTAATTAAGCAATAAGCCAGAAATCTTTTATAGCATCAGCTTATTGAAACCTACGATTTTCTTAATGCAGATCACAGAGCATAGAATTAGAGCTGGAAGGGACGTTAGAAGCTCTCAAGTCCAACCAGCTCATTTTACAAAAAAGGAAACTGAGGCACAGAGTGATTAAATGAGTTGTTGAAGGTCACATAACCAGAAAGTAGCCAAGCTAGAATTTGAACTCGTAGGGTTCTTTGATTCTATAGCCAGAATTCTTTTCATTGTGTAGGAATTCTTTCCAGTTGTGGTGCCCTGGATAGAGGGCTGGCCCTGGTGGTAGGAAGACCTGAGTTCAAGGCCCACCTCTGACACATATTGGCTGGGTGATCCTGGGGAAGGTCATGTAACATCTCAGTGGTCTAAATGGCTTTCTAAACTCTTAACTTGCCAAGATGCCAACCTGCATTGGTAGAAGGAGGGTCTTCATCTTAACCCCATCTCTCTACCATCTTCTCTTAACTTTAAGAGCTTAAATTGGTTGCCAAATGATTGACTTACCAGATGGTGCCCAGTGAGTGTATGGACGGTTAGCAGAGGTGGCTTGGTAGACTAATGCTTAGCCATGGAGTCAAGACTTTGAACCTAAGTTTGGATCCTACCTCTGATGATTACTAGCTGTGTGACCCTGGGCAAGTCACAACCTCTCAGTACGTTCAGAACACTCCCTAAGACTGCATGTGTCCTAGCAGTGACAGGCAGATCCCACCGTCTCGCTCCCCTACAAGCTAATAGTTAATAGCCCAGGTGTGAGTTGATGTGGGCCTTCACCAGGATGGGGGCTCTATTAGAGGAGAGAAGGGGGTACACTTGAGAGATGCTTTCATCTAATAATAATTAGATTCTAGTTGTATAAAAATAACAAATGCACTTTCTAAATTACCTACTATAGTACTAAGGAGTTGCTTATTTGCCTGCAAGCTAGAATATGAGTAATGTAAAGTCCTGAAGGCAAGAATAGCTTTTTTTCCCCTTCTTCATATCTCTGGTACCAGGCAGTAGTGGTATTAAGGATTAAGTGTAGTAGATACTTAATGTGTGTTGAATTGAATTGGAAAATAAGGAGGAGGGGTGGCTTCATAAGGCGATGGTCAGTGTAACTGATTCCATAAGGTAAATACCTGTATACATACATTCAGCCAACATCCCCATCTGCTTGCATTTTCTTAGCCGGCACTCCTGGCATTTCCTCCTCATGTACATGTCCATTTCACAGTTCCCGCCATTCTTACACTTGTACACAGCATTTTTGGTTATACTCCTCCGGAAGAAACCTGTGCAAACAATACAGGATGGTATTCAATGGTGCCTTCATTTTATCAGCACTGCTGGGGAGGAAGATGGAGCCCATGCTAATTTGCACATCAGCCCCTAGACAACTGCTTGTTGCATCAGAAAACCATCTGTCAGGTGCTGGATGGGGAATTCTAGTATAAGGAGGAAGCGGAGTAAATGATTTCCAAGGCTCCTGCTCACTCTTAGAGTCTACGATCGGCAACAAAATGAGTTTCAAATGTCCAATGTTTTACTGTCCAGAATTTTTTAAAAATTATTGATCCTCTAAGTTGGTCAATCATTCAATGAGCATTTTGGTGCCAAAAATATGCTAAGCATAGTGGGGGATATAAAAATGAACAAAAAGAAGCATTTGTTAAGAGCTTACTATGTTTCAGGCACTGGGGACACAGAAACAAAGTCAAAATGGTCCCTGCCCTCAAAGAGCTTACATTTTATGGGGGAGGAGGAGAAGCAACCTGTACAAAAAAGTGAAAGGGGAAAAAGAAAGGAAGGAAAGAAAGTAAGTGGGATTTGAACTTGGGTCTTCCTGACCCCAGGTACCACCTAGCTGTGCCACCTAGCTGCCACCTAGCACTATATAAATATAAACTATTATTATATTGAAGCAACTAAGTGGTTCAGTGAGCAGAGTGCTACAATTGGAATCAGAAAGACCAGAGTTCAAATCCTGCTTCAGATACCTCCTAACTGAGTGAGTCTAAACAAGTAATTTAATCTCTCTCTCTCTCTCTCTCTCTCTTTTTTTTTTAGGCAATTGGGGTTAAGTGACTTGCCCAGGGTCACACAGCTAGTATGTGTCAAATGTTTGGTCTGAGGCCTGATTTGAACTCAGGTCCTCCTGACTCCAGGGCCGGGGCTTTATCCACTGGGCCACCTAGCTGCCCCCACTTAGTCTCATTCAATCTCAGGATCCTCATTTGTAAAATGGATAATAACAGAACTTATCTCCCAAAGATCTCATGAGAATCAAATGAGATAACAGATATAAAAAGTTTTACAAACCTCAAAGCACCATACAAATGCTATTATTATTACTACAAACAACTAGGTGGCATGGTGACTAGAGCACTGGACTTGGAGCAGGAAGAACTGAGTTCAAATCCTGCCTCAGACATCTACTAGCTTTGTGGTCCTAGGTAAGTAATTTAACCTCTGTCTGCCTCCGTTTCCTCATTAATAAAATGAGGTCAATAACAATACCTCTTTCCTAGGGTTGTTGTGCGACCTGTGTATGTAAATTGCTCTGGAAATCCTACAGCCCTTTCTTTGATGCCAGCACGTCATGCTGGGCGGTCCTTTGCCAGAATCTCCTCTGTGGCATAATTGATCCCAAAGTTCTTCAGAGAGACCACAAGAGTGTCCTTGTATTGCTTATAAACTCCCTGAAGGCAAGACCTATCTCCTTGTTTGTTCCAAGCCCCTAACCTTCACAGAGCTGAGTACACTGTACTCTTTAAAAACTTGCTGATTAATTTGATGAACTGGAAGAAACCTTAGAAGCCATCTGATTCAACCCCCTTATTTCACAGATTAATCCACTTCTATTTCTTAAGTACCCACTGTGTGCCAGAGAGTGCAGATAACAAGTGCAAAGAATGAAATGACCCCGACTCACAAAGGGAGGGAAATGCAGCCCAGGATGGTCACAGCTCGAAAGCTGGGAAGGACCTCAAACACCAATCCAACCTCTTCATTTTGGTTGCTGTTGTTTAAGTCGTGTCCAGCTCTTCACGACCCCAGATGGGGTTTTCTTGGCAAAGATACTGGAGTAGTTTGCCGTTTCCTTCTCCAGCTCATTTGACAGATGAGGAAACTGAGGCCCAGAGAAGTTCAGTGACTTGTCCAAAGTCGCACAATTCACAAGTGACCAAGCCAAGACCTGAACTCAGTCTTTCTGACTTCAGAATCAGGGCCATTTCCAATGTGCTATAATGCCTCCTTCCCTCCCAAGGGAACCATTTTCTCATTGATAAGCTTTGTTAATTTGTTGGTTTTAGTAGACCAGTAGACCTGTTTAGTGGACCAGTTTTCTGGCACAATCATCAAAATATCCATGGAAAACTACTAGGCTTGTATAATTCTGTGGCATTGATCTCAATGGTTTTCTCTGCTCCTTGATATTTAGAAAAACGTTTTTCCCCGGGATCACATGTCCAGTGTCCATCAGAGATGGGGTATGAACTAAAGTCTTCTTTATTCCAAAGATAGCTTTTAATCTGCTACACAGAGCTGATTATCATGTGCTTAACATTTGAGACTTGGCAGGTAAAGCAGGATGTGTTTAATTGTATAGGGACTGGACCTGTGATTTCCCTGGTTCAAGGAACTCCTGGGTGAGCGAACTACCTGTACACATGCAGGTTGCTACCTTCTGTGTACTGAGAGGCGAAGGGTCTTGACCAGGGTCTCATGGCTTATGTATGTCAAAGACAGAATTTGAACTCAGGGCTTCCAGGTTTCAAGGCTAGTTGCTTATTCACTATGTCTTTGCTTAATTCTATAGCCCCGACATACATGATTCAGATCTAAAATACTTGATACTAATAACATATTGTTGTTTAGTCATTTCAGTCATGTCTAACTCTTTGTGACCCCTTTTTAGGATTTTCTTGGCAAAGGTACTGGAATGGTTTTCCATTTCCTTCTCCAGCCCATTTTACGGATGAGGAAATTGAGGCAAACAGGGTTAAGTGACTTGTCCAGATTTGTACAGTCAGTAAGTGTCTGAGGCCAGATTTGAACTCAGGTCTTCCTGACTCCACACCCAGCCCTCTATCCACTGAACCACTACTTTGCAGCAACACAATTCACTAACAAGATCACCATGGTTCCTAAACATTTCTGAGTTCCACAGTCACAATATAACTGAATTTCTTAGTTTATCCTTGGCTTTTCAAAATAAAATTGTCAGATCCTAGTAGAAACAAACTCCTTTTATCAATGCAGGTCAGCACTTTCTCTTGTTGGACAAATACCCATATTGATTTAAGTGACTCACCTAGGGTCCCACAGTCATTATGTGTCAGAGACTTGAACTCTAGCTTTTTGAGGTTCCTAAAGCTAGCTAAGATAGACTCAAACTACTTTATCACACTGCCTTTCATAAAGGTTAGCTGCAGTATTGTTATTGTTGTTATTATTATTACACAGTG